ATTTAAATATATTATAGTTAATATTAATAAGATTCTTTAAAATTAATTAAACTCTCTATTAACGAATTAGCTTAATAGTTTTTCTAAGTATAATAATTTATAACGTCGAGATATAAGCTCTATTATTATTCTTCTATAACGCGATATTCTCTTTTAATTTATAGCATTTAATCTTAATCTTATCGAGTATCTCGCGTATCTTAAATATATACTTATTAAAATCGTTCGATTTCTTATAAATATTCTTAATAATATATTTCTTTATTATAAACTTATAGATCTCGAAGTCTCTCTCTTAAAATATATAGGTCTATCGCTCTTAATTATTATTGCTAAAAGCGTTATTTATAAAGTAGAATTATTAGAAATAAAAGTATAGAAGCTAATATTAATAATAAAAGAGATATTAATAAGAGAGATTATTCGTTAAATCTTCTTTCGATATTTTATCTAAATAATTAGTAAATAAAGCTATTTAAGAATAGAATAGATATATCTCCTTCTATAGTATTCTTTATCTTTCAAATTTATTTAATAAGAAGCTCTTATATCGACTTAGAAAACTTTATTAATACGGGATATTAAATATATTTAACTATTTAATAAACTCGCTATTTAAGTATAATCTTATAATAACGAAGCTTCTATTAATTATCGATCTTTAGAATATATAATACTATATTAATAAGACTAAATTTAAATATAGTTTCTTTACTCTTCTTATAAATCTTAAGTAAATAATATTATAATTCGATTAGATTTATATCTAAAATCTAAAGTAGTAAGTATAAATATTATTTAATATAATATCTTTAAAGCTTTCTAGTTTTTAGCTATTAACGCTTAATATATTTTTATTAATCTTTTAAAGTAGCGTTTAATACTATATTAATTAATTCTAGATAGTTAATATATATAAATTAAAAGTAGAGTACTTTATAAAGATATTCGAAGAACTTCTTATAGTTATTAATACTTAACTCTTACTTTAATATTTATTTATAATATCGATAATATAGTAAATATTAAATCTCTTATTTGCTTATTTTTAGATTATAAAAGACTAGCTTAATAGCTCTCTATTTAATTAAAGAGTTATTAGTAATTATATATTAAAGAAGCTAGCTATCTCTTCTTTTATACTATTTCTTTATTATATATAGAAATATTATTATAATATTATTATTCTCGAATTAGAAGATTATATAAGCGTATAAAATCTATTATCTATACTTACTACGAGCCGCTATAGTAAATAGCTTTTACTTAAAATTATTACTATTATATATAAAATCTATAAAAGCGAGATACTCTTATTTTTTTAGAAAATTAATATAAGCTAGTCAAATAGAGTTAGCGTAAATTTATAATAAATTAAAATACTATTATTAAAAAATATTCTTCTACTTATATTTCTTCGCAAATATAGTTATATAAGTAATCTTATTATTAATCTATCTTATAACGATAATATTCTAAATAAAGATATTTTTCTAACTCTTTAGATTAGTTAGATAAACCTCTTACTACTCTAGCTAATCTACTTTAACTTTATAAATTTAATTATTTAAATATATTCTCTTAAATTTAGCTCTAGCGTTATAAATATAAATAAGATTAAGATATTTATTTTTAATAGCCTTTAGAGCGTTAAGATTAGCTATCTATTTAATTTTCTTTATAACTTAATAGACTTAAGCTATCTTATATTCTTAAGCTACTTACTTACCCGCGATATTTATAATAAATAAGTTAATCTTAATAGCGTTTATAAAGTCTAGTATATAATTATAAATTAAATAATAAGTCTTATTCTCGTAAAAAAATAGTATAATTAATATAAGAATATTACGATTAGATAGATTATAGTACTTAATTATTTTCATCTTTATTTCATAGAGCTAATATATTCGAAGATTCTTATTTCGATAACTATAAGTTTTAAACTTAGTAATTTCTTTATATAGACGATTTTATTAATAGAATAATTAGATACTCAACTTAATAATAGAATTATTAGACTTATTATATACTTAGAAATTATTTATAAATAATTATAGTTAGATAAATTCCTTAGTCGTCTATTAGATCTCTTCTCTTATATTAAATAGAATCTAACGAATTACTTTAATATTCGACGATAAGACTATAATTATTAATTTTAAATAGAAAATAACTACTTTATTAATACGCGTCTTTCTTTACTTAATTCTCTTATAAGACTCTTTCTAATTTATCGACGCGTTTAAAAAGATCTTAATCTTATATTTTAAGAAGAAAGAGAAGAAAGAAATAATAGATTTTAATAACGATAATCTAGACGCGTTAGAATACGTAATCTTACTCTATTTATTATCACTATTATTATTATTCTCTTTCTATATTAGAGATAAAAAGTTATTATCTAAAAATTTTATCTTCGAGCTACGGTCTCGATTAATATTCTTTAAATTGCTACTATACTAATCTAACTTCTTTTAAATATTCTCGAAGCCTTTATACTAAGAGAGCTAACGAATACAAAGAGAAGACGATATTAAGGCTATATAAGAGGGGATTATATAAAGATTTAACAATAGCGAGGTATAGAAAGGGTAAGAGGGTAGAGGGTGGTGATAGCGAGATATAGAGAAGACGGTAAGATTAGCCAGGATATATCCTCTATTTACTACTGTAATCTCTTACTAATTAGGGGAATATAGCTAGGTCGGCCTAATAACTCTCCGGTATCGTACACTAGCGTTGGCTGAGGTTTAAAAGGAACCGGAATATGACTGCGGTTCTTCTATTCTGAGTTTCGCTGCCGCAAGGATCCAGGAACGATAGGGCGACGAGACGGTTGTTGTATAAGTACGTGCTTTTCGGCCATATTTTCTTGATCTGGGGGAAAAGATCCAAGTTACTCCTTTTTGCAAAACCATTTGCGGGAGCGCCCGTTTGGCAGCCACCCCACCAAATTTTCGCCGTGATCTCAGTAGTAGTACTCTGTCCAATGCTCCCAGTACTACTCTCAGTACTGCTCTCAGCAATACTCTGTCTAATAAACCCAGTAGTACTCTATCCAGTACTCTCAGTAGTGCTCTATCCAGTGCTCCCAGTAGTGCGCTATCCAGTGCTTCCAGTAGTAGTACTCTGTCCAGTGCTCCCAGTAGTGCTCTATCCAGTGGTCCCAGTAGTGCTCTATCCAGTGGTCCCAGTAGTAGTACGCTGTCCAGTGCTTCCAGTAGTAGTACTCTGTCCAGTGGTCCCAGTAGTGCTCTATCTAGTGGTCCCAGTAGTGCTCCCAGTAGTGCTCTGTCCAGTGGTCCCAGTAGTGCTCCCAGTAGTGCTCTGTCCACCTACCTACCTACCTACCTACCTACCTACCTACCTACCTACCTACCTACCTACCTACCTACCCTCACTGCTGCGCAGCTACCTACCTACCCACCCACCCACCCTACCTTACCCCCACTGCTGCGCGCAGCCACCCACCCACCCACCCACCCACCTACCTACCTACCCTTACTGCTGCGCAGCTACCTACCTACCTACCTACCTACCTACCTACTTACCCTTACTACTGCGCAGCTACCTACCTACCTACCTACCTACCTACTTACCCACACTGCTGCGCAGCTACCTACCTACCTACCTACCTACCTACCTACTTACCTACACTGCTGCGCAGCTACCTACCTACATTGCTGCGCACCTACCTATTTACCTACTATGTCTAGTGCTCCCGATACTATTGAGAGTACTGGACAGAGCACTACTGGGTTTACTAGACAGAGCACTGCTGGGAGCAGTACTGAGAGTAGTACTGGGAGCATTGGATAGAGCACTACTACTGAGAGCACTGGAAAGAGCACTATTGGAAGTAGTACCGGGAGCACTGGACAGAGCACTACTACTGGAAGTACTGGACAGAGCACTGCTGGGAACACTACTGGGACCACTGGATAGAGCACTACTGGGATCACTGGACAGAGCACTACTGGGATCACTGGATAGAGCACTACTGGGATTACTGAATAGAGCACTACTGAGAGTACTGGATAGAGTACTACTGGGTTTATTAGACAGAGTATTGCTGAGAGCAGTACTGAGAGTAGTACTGGGAGCATTGGACAGAGTACTACTACTGAGAGTACTGGAAAGAGCACTACTGGAAGTAGTACCGGGAGCACTGGATAGAGCACTACTACTGGAAGTACTGGATAGAGCACTGCTGGGAACACTACTGGGATCACTGGATAGAGTATTACTGGGACCACTGGATAGAGCACTGCTGGGACTACTGGATAGAGCACTACTACTGGAAGCACTGGACAGCGCACTACTACTAGGACCACTGGACAGAGCACTACTACTGGGACCACTGGACAGAGTACTGCTGAAAACACTACTGGGACCACTAGACAGAGCACTATTGGGACCACTGGATAGAGCACTGCTGGGAGTATTGGATAGAGTACTACTACTGGAAGCACTGGATAGCGCACTACTACTGGGACCACTGGACAGAGTACTACTGGGAGCACTGGACAGAGTACTACTGGGACTACTACTGGGACCACTGGACAGAGCACTACTACTGGGACTACTGGATAGAGCACTATTGGGACCACTGGACATAGCACTACTAAGAGTAATACTGAGAGTAGTACTGGAAGCACTGAATGGAGCACTACTAGCAATACTGGGAAAGCATTACGGTGGCATAGCGATAGCGACAGCGTGGCTGTGGAGGCCTAAAAAAAGCTATATCAAGTTCTTCGGCAATTAGACTATACACGGCTTTATATTTAGACGAATCTACAGCTGACCTACAGCTATCTACCACGAATTTAGCTTCTGCGTACATTTGGCGGTGGTCACGGCGAAAATTTGGTGGGGTGGCTGCCAAACGGGCGCTCCCGCAAATGGTTTTGCAAAAAGGAGTAATCAAGCAAGTTGTCTCCTTTTTTCTCCCTGAATATCTCTCCAGGCCCTTCATTTGGCTTTTTGTCCACAGGATGGGTCCAGAAATACAGTACGACGATGAACCTCAGGAACCAAGAGAGAGAACATTGGAGATGTCACTACCTTCATCCCAAAATGATGATAAATCCCAAGAAGTCAATCTGCTACCTTCTGCCCAACCAATGACACCCAACAGAGCAACCCGGCCCATCGTTACCCCCAAAAACCCACCACTCTATACCTTGAAGCGCCAGAAAGACTTCCGCGACAAAGACATATACTTCGCCATCAAATGGGCATGCGGTATCCTAACCGTCGCAGCCTCCATCGTCTTCGGTATCTGGGCGCCTTTGTCTTACGAAGCCACGATCGCCGACAACGATACCCAGAACTCCATGGTCACCGTCCTCTCAAACGCCAAAGATCTGGCTTCGACGGCCAACATCATCGCGTCGAACGCACTGGACACCGCAAGCGCACAGCGCGAAGCGATGGCATCACTGTACAGCACGATCGGGCTGATGGGACAGCTGGCCGTCATGGAATTCTGCTACGGGCAACAGGTGCGGTCCCAGTCATCCGAGATATGGACTTGGCAATCCGCTGACCCTGACAGACGCTGAGCGCTTGCGGTTCCTACGTCCAGGGAGCGGAGCATTCGCTCGAGAGCCTGATCGATCGACTAGGACACAGGGCGGTTTCGACCGCTGCGACTGAGGCGGCGGGGCCATCTGTCGCGACGGTTACCCCGGAAGGTAGCGGCGCTGGAGCTGTTCCTGATGCAGCTCCTCCTCCTCCTTCCAATAATGCAGCTCCCGATCCTGGCGCAGCAGCTCCGACGGAACAGCAATCGGCATCTGGAGCTGCTCCGTCTGAAGCGCGACCGACTTCAGGAGCGACTCCAAGCTCAATACCAGGACCTACTGCTACGAGTCCAGCAGCTTCTCCGTCCACTAAAAAGGCGCCAAGGCTTCCTGTCGACGCAGTCCTAGGGATTGTATTTGGTCTGATTGGTGTTGGGGGAGCTATGTTAGGTTTCTTTGTCTGGAGGATACGCAGGAGAAGACTGATGCTGTCAGGAGAGTGAGCAGATCTAGGCAGGAATCATGTTCCATGCCTCGAATTCTCGATGCTAATTGTCCTTTGCTACACTCATTTTATGCAATGCACTCACTTCCACTTCTCCATGCGCTCCGTAGCCCATTCTCCCCTGACGTGCATCAACTCGTAACACTCATCACTCTATCTATGCACTCTGGTCTTCAATCTTCGTCATCGTCGTCTGCAGCAATGCAGACAGCGATGCCTCCAACGTCCCATACGCTTCGTTCTGCAAATCATGCCTCTCGACCTCTTTTCCGCGCGTAATCTTGACCATGGCACGAAACTTCACACCCGCAGGGCTTGGCTGGCACAAAGCATCGACCTCGATCAGGTGTTCGCCAGCGTTGTATAGATGCTTTGCATAACCTTAACATTGCATCACGTTAGCCTATGTGATGCATGCTCAAAGTGCAGGATAGGGTGACGTGATTGGATTGAACCGACCTGAGATCTGACGCGTCATGGAGGCGTTGGCGCCACTACTTGGGTTGTTATGGGGATCGTTCTCCATGGCGTCGGCCTATTCATGGCGTGTTTCAGCAAGTCATCTGCGAAACACGTTGTAGCAGTTTGAGGAGACTTACCGGCTTGGAAGCGCAGCATGCTCTCATAATCTTGTTTGAACCACATGCGCATGGCCGACGGCCGCAGCATTCCATTAGACGTTCTTTGGAGCCGCAAGGGCACGGGAGAGTCGTGTCAAACCAGTAGCTAGGCATTTTGGTGCAGGTGGACATCTTGCTTTGCGCTGAATCTTGTAAAGAGCTGTTGTGATAACGTGAAAACCGGGTGCGAAGAGTGGAGACTTGTATCTTTGCCAAAGTAGCGAGGAGCGGTGAAGAGATCATGTGCAGGCTTCAAGTATTGACGTGTCTACCCGCAATCTGTTTGGTCTTTCGAGGTGTGCAGCCGAGACTTTCTCCAGTGAGCATAACAAGCGCCACCATGCCGACGTCACCGTGCTGTGACAAACTCAAAAGGGATTGTAGAAGTGCAGGTCTGGAGAGCGTCCTGATGCATGAATCTAGATCGTTTGACTCCAACCTCGCCGCCTCTTGGCATTTTGAAGCTCTATATCCTTTAGAATCTCGAGACACAGGTGTTGAAGAATCCTAAAGTTCAAGGCTGGGTGTCTGGAAGTTGCTCGGTTTGTGACGATGACTGTGGGTGTAGCCGTCCAGCACGAGAGATGGAAAATGAAGCAAAAGAATGTCGCAGTCTGTTGGCTCTAGGAAACCCCAGGGTCATGGGTCTTAAACGACTACCTCGTGTCTTGGGGGCTTGTATCAGGTGAAAGTAATCTTCTGTCTGGTCAGATCCCTAAAGACATCATCAAGGGCCTGTCTCTTCCTTTTCCTGCTTTCGTCCTCATCTTCATCAACCTGCTCGGCCTCATCTTTTTCAAGCTGGATATCCGCCTTCGTCCTGGGCTTCCATGCCCTAATGAGACCATCTGAATGCGCAGAATACACTTCGACATTGCCATTTCTCCAACCAAGCGAAGTGACTCTATTCCTGATGTTTCGTTTTCCAGCGCTTCCACTAGCCTGAGCGACAGCTACACCAGGAGCCCGCAGTCGGTTAAGCAGCGTGCCCTCGAACAAATCGAACATCAATATTTCCTTCTCGTTCGGGTATAGCATGACCTGGGAGCCCGAGACTTGCCTAGGTGCGAGTAATGGCAATAGGGTAGAAAGATGGGTGTTCTTGATGATTGGACCAAAGTGCGACAGAGCATTTGCGCCAACTCCTACATCCCAGACCCGTACACGTTCATCATGACCAGCAGTGACAATGTGCCGCCCATCCTCTGTCCAGACTACACCGTTGCAAGCCCCGATATGTGCTTTGCCATGGTTTCGGGTACGGGCATTTTTACCCCTTCCATCTTCACCGCCAACTCCAACAGAGTCGTCCATATCCAGGACTCCTAAACTTCCAGCACTCCTTCGAATATCCCATAGCCTGACTGTTCCGTCTGAGCCACCACTGGCCATGATATATTCATCGTGCGGGCTCCATGCTACCGAGAGTACTGCACCTTGATGACCGGCGAGCGAGTGCGCACTAGCACCCGATCTGAGATCCACCAGTCTGACAGCAGGATGCTGCGTCGCGCACGCCACTAGGAGATGATCCGCAATGGGGGACAAGGCATGAGAATAGACGACTAAGTTGAGATCGAAGGACGCAGATGGAGTGAGTGTCTCTGTTGCATAAATCTTCAAGGTGTGGTCGTAGGAGGTGGAGAGAAAGGCCAGCGAATCGAATGGGTAGAAGGAGAGATGTGTGATGCCGAATTTATGAGCGGAAGACGTTTTGCTCGCTTTCACGCTAGGATTGTAAGTGCAGCGATTGAGTGAACACTCAGCGCTCTCGAGATCCCATAGAATAATTGAGGATTCGGCGCCTCCTGAGAGCATGCTTGAAACCCCAATTAGCCCTCGTGATCCTATTTCTCTCGATCCTTGAGACTTACTACCGTCCCTCGAACCTGTCAACAGCAAGACAGTTAACGCCAGCTTTGTGCGCCCATACTTCACCCAGCTCATCTTCCTCGTCCCCATGTTGTTGCGCTTTGGTCAGCGCCGCTCCAGTGCTGCCGTCAAATCTTATACCGGGGGCCGCTTGTAGAGAGTTCAGGAGGCGCGATGTTTGGGCCTTTTGCACCGCATGAGGACTGATAGATCCCAGCGCACGACCGAAGAGATTGGACGTCATGCATCACGTTTCTCAAAGTATTGGACATAGCAGATGGCTGCTTTTGGAGTGGAACAAGGCTCTTCGCGCTTGGCGGGAAACGCGTCTCTCTCTTGACTTTGACTTTGAGAGTTTCCCAGTTTCCATCGTCAATACAAGATGTAGAGCTGAAGCCCCCGCAGTACAACTCTGATCAGTGCGATAGACCCTAGGCTCACCAGAAAATGCCGAGGATCTCAACAAAGACCACTCACTTGAAAAGGCCATGGCGAAGACACAGAACCACAAGAAGACAAAGCGCCAGGCTACCCTTTATGACGCTGTAGCTGGCACGTAACCTCACCATTTCCACTTTCCGAGAGCCTTCCTCTAATAAGTCACCCATAGGTCGCGTATCCTCAACCGGCTTCATTCCTCCAACCCCACGTGTCTCCGCATATCGCGACACCCCGTCCTCCAGCACCGTCGCCGTCCCACCAGAAGAAGTGCTCTTTCGCCGCAAAGGAGCTCCTATACGATACGAGGAAGATGACGTCTACTGGGCTGATAGACATTTGACCGACAAACAAAAATTACCGGAGTCGGACTTGCTGAAGGCTATACACGCATACGCAGCTGATTTCTACGGGCGGGCGGTGAAAGGGAGGGGTATGGTTGACTTTGAGAGTTTGGATGAGACGGCGCTTTTGGCGGTGGGCGTGTTATTGGAGGAGAAGGCAGGCGAGGCTTTGGGGGAGACGGGAGATTTGGCTTTTGTCGAGGGGGAAGATGATGAGGCCCAGTGGGCTGAGGAAGGGGCCCTTCCAGAGGAGGTCACGTCCAGTGGAGAGGATCATCGAGAGTCTACAGCTGCAGCGTCGGAGGTCACATCAGAGGCAGCGACATCGGACAAGGGGAACAGCGATAAAGATAAGAGAAGGCACAAACGGAGAAAGACGAGGCGTGACCATGACAGAAATGGGTAACCTGAGCATGTCGGTAGTACGCTGTGGACGTTATCACCATTCTCACCTGAGACTTCTCGAACTACGCCCATGGCTCGAATAATGGCCTTGACTGAGGTCATTGCGCCGAACAAAAATGTGGCAACGCAGGTTGTATATTTTGACATATCTAGAGAAATCCTATGTGCTTTGATCATGGACGATGAAAGAGACCTCCACTCTCGAAAAGTTGTTATTGCAATATGAAGTGCCCGACGTTCTAGACGCTATGATATACGGCCTTGGAACCTACGAATCAGGCTGGAAAGTTGTTGTGGCTTTCCGTAAGTCTTGACACCAGGTATCTTACGCCACGCTTCCGCTCCGCATATTTGAATCATGCACTAAGAACTGTCGACAGACTTCAACAAAGAAAACTTCAACAAAGAGGACTTCAACGACAAATCCACAAAGGGTGCATAATCATGACAATGGAAATTGCAAAGAATATGCTTGTTCTAGAGAATCTTTCTTTGTCGTTCTTAGTTCTCCGCGACAAAGCAAGCTCGGGACACTGCTGCTAGCAAGTCATATATTTCCTTGATTTCCATGCTGTTCCCCTTCTTCTGTACGTGCTACTACAATTCCACCACGATCATACATCACTAAAGACTGCGGCCCAAACTCCAGAATCAGCTCATCATTTCCGCAACCAAACAACACAACAAAAGACCATGCCAGCAGAGATTCTCAATCGACTCGAGGCCTCTATACCAGAGATCGAAGCTTCTTTCGTCAACGAAAATATCGGTTCTTCCATGAAGGCCGACAGTCTGGACCCACTTGAGTCCGAATTGAGGGCTATGAAATTCATATGGAAACTGCCCATCGTCTCCATCGATTTCCTTCATGAAGACGAAAAATTCTGTGGCATGTGTGATCGCAAGTACGATGACGAATTCAGAGTTTGCGGACGTAAAGAATCCCCTTGTTGTCTGCCATGTGGTCATATAGCAGGTCACCGTACGTACATTTCGGAGCTGACTCTTCCTGTTTGGTAAAGAAATTGAGTCGCAAGAAGACCTTTCTCCCCCCGAGACCTGTCTTGCAACTCCATTTCCTACCTCGAATAAACAATGCTGACTTCGAAATCTGCGTAGAATGCCTTCGGAAATACCTTTCTCCCTACGAGTGTGGGTTCACAAAGTGTCCTTTCGTAAGTGCCCCTTCTAATTACTTCTTCCCCTTTCACATCCTTGCTCGAGCCTCAAGACATGTCGAGGAGCAGAGACACATGTTTTGCTCCTCAAACATACCATCGGACTCGAGAAACCATTTGAGAAGAGAAATGCTGACTTCGAATGCTGCAGTGCAAGGTCGATTTCCCGCAAACGTTCACAGATCCAGTTGAGCCCACACTGGCTACTAGCGACCTTGCATGGGTGGATGTCGATGACCACGAGGTTTTAGACGAGGGGCTGAGCAGACAGGTATCGCAACTGTCAAAGGATTCCGGAGCACCAAGCGATGAAATCAAGCGGTACCTCAGCATCGATGAGGTTCTTGAGCGCTCTCGAAGCCAAACAGAGGATTATATGGGCACAGATGTACAAGACTTCGCCACTCAAGCTACCGATCCAGCGGAGATTGGAGACGAAGAATTCCCAAAGAATCGCAAAAATGGAGGAGGTCCAAGTCTTGCACGTGCTGCTATGAAGGCTGTCGATCTGATAGCGAAGAAATTTTAGGGGCCAATCTCAAGTTGGACAGGAAAAAGGCATAGCTTAGCAAGCAAGAGAGCCTGGGAAGTAGACAGTCAAAACCCAAAGCATTAGTGATACACTGCCATGTCTTTCAAAATGTGAGTCAACTTTCAAAATGTGAGTCAAAAATGTATTCAAGCACAAATTCACCTTCGCTGCTATCCATGTTGACCCATTGCGGTCACACTCTGATACTAATAATAACTAATCATCTCTACAAGTCTTCTACCTGAACCTACTTTGCGTCACCATCTGAACGCATTGTACCACTAGCCCGTTTGACCGTCAAGACCCTTTTTGCTCGCCTAAACGCCCTACTAGGATCTCCCTAAGGCTTAGATCCAGACGCGCATCAGCGGAGGGCCCAAGGAGCTTCCAATTCTAACGTCCTTCCTGGCTCTGCTCATCAGCGATACTCTATCTCTCGGGACCCCACAGCTCTCCACTTTTGGCTACCGTTGTGTGCTTTTTTGGAACCCCACCGAATTCGTGTTCGCTTCCGACGTTTCTGTTGGCAAGCAGATTGGATTCGCAAATCGGGCACCGAGTGGCTTCGTAGATCGAAAGATTGGAGAAGAGACTGGAGAAGAGACTGTTGCTGCCTAATAGCCCGCATCTGGCACCCGTCGCCTTATCATCGTCTTTCTTGCATAGGATGTGACCGCACGCTAGCTCCACAACGTGTTCGAATTCTTCGTTTTCAACGTGCGGTGCTATGAAGAGGGCCGCGACCTTGTCGCTGCCAGTCAGCTTCTTGGTGATTGCCGTAGGCAGATAGCCGATGGACTTCACGAGAGACATGGGAGGTTTCTGCGAGCTTACCGAAGTTGTGCTTGACATAAGCATTTTTTGAATTTGGTGATTAAAAGATCTCAGAGGATGTGGGTGGGCGACGACAGAGGAAAAAGAAGACGAAAGTGAAGTGGGGATGGAAGCAACGTCCTGCTGAAAGTGTCAATGGTGCAATGCTGCATGCTAGGTTGCCGGGCATGTGTTAAATACCCAGTGCTTTTTTCTAGCAGTGTTGCAAAGTATCATGACACAAAGAGCGTCAAGCTCGACTCTCTTTGTGGTTTTGGCCTTTTATCACAATCCATAATGGCTTTGTTCGACTTTGAATCGATGTGTTATATGTTTCTCTTTGTTTTGATTAGCACTCCCCTTGACACTTACGTGCATGCTTGACACAAATATCTATATTCCAGCACTCGAGTCTTACACCGCAGCCCCAGTTTTCTCAAATCATCAATCCCCGCACATAATTCCAGCATGGATTCAGCTTTGATCATCACTAGCATGGACAGTCCACTCCAACATCTACGATCCATCCGAGCAGAAGATCTTCCACCCCACGAGCAGGCATGTCATGTTTGTGGGACTCCCTGGGGGTTTCGAAAAGATGCTAGTGGTCCAATGGAATATCCCGTTCTTCTCACATGTGGATGCATTGCTGGCTCGTTGTGTCTAGAGCGATCGTTCGAAACAAGTCCGAGATGTCCTCTGTGCAAGAATGCGATCCGGATCATTGCGGGTGTTAACGCGCCGCTCAATCACAACACGAGGGCTCACTTACTTCAACTCGAGCTGAGAAGCGGTGTCAACGACTGGCCAATCCCATCGGTTGAGAGCCGACGAGAGATGCTGGACAGCGCCAGTATGGAGGAAGCAGAGCAAACGAAGTCTGACCTACAAGGTAAGCTGGGTGTACTGAACGGCTGTCACAGTACCTTCCTTTCCGTACGAGAGTTGGAGGTATGCATCAGCCTCGTCGACTATCGCCTTGGCACCACCACATCAGTTGTCGATGCCCTCGACGCATTCCTTAAATGCCCGCTGTTCGATCCATCGCTCTGGGTAAAAACCGCAGAAATACGTGCATATATGGAAGGAAACTCAACAAATCCCCTTCAATTCAAGTCCAGCTGCGGAAACTTCACAGATGGAGATTTGAGAGATGTGCTTATGTTGGTCAATATGCGAGCCGGTACCTCGTTTCTTTTGGACGAGTTGGAGCTGGTGGTGTCGTTGATGAATTTCATCCATGGCAGTGGAGTGGAACTCTTGGACGTTCTGGGATTGCGAGAAGGGGGGTTGCTTTATGTTCAGCCAGACTCGCTGGAGTTGCAACCGGCTGACGGAGAGCTGGTAAAAGTTTTCGGGACACTTGATATCCGTGTTGGTTCGAAGAACGCGATGGAGGATTTGGGGGATGTGTTTTCCCAGGCGGCCTTATAAGGCGGTTCCTTGAGCTGAGTGCGAATTCTGCCTCTAGGTCTTCTCGCAACAGTGGGACTGTGGATTAGTGGGTCCATTATGAGGCCATAGCGTTGGTGGCTATTTAATCAGCCGTTTCATCATTATGCGACTATGCGATATGCGATAGTAGGGAGATAAGTGGGTATGGCGAGTACTATTTATATGGCTATTGCATTAGAAGTAAGCTCTTTATTCAAATTATTCTCTTTAGAGTTATATTATTATTCTTCTTCTTTTTATAGTTAAGTCTATATATATTAGTCTTTATTTAACTATTATAAATATATTTTATACTCTTATATACTTTATAATAGCTCTCGCTACTATTATTAAATCTAAAAAAATAATTATACGAGTTATATCCGCCTTTAAAATTATTAAAAAAACTTTTAACGCTATTAATAAGGTCTCTAAAGCTCTTAAAGCTAAAAAGACTATTAAGATTAAAATATCTCCTCTCCGCGATAAGATTCTTATATCCGAAATACTATTAAAAATTATTATCTCAAACGAGATTAATAAAACGCTTTTATCTACTAAGAAACTTAAAATAGATTTTATAAAATTAATAACTTAGCTATTTAAGATTTAAGAAAAGCGAAATTATCGCTATTATTAAAAGAATTAAATTTATTATAAAGATTAAATTTATAAATTACGTTATTACTATTATCGCTATAATTATAACTATTATTATTATTACTTAAATATATTAAATTCGAACTTATCTAATTTTAAGTCGAATTAAAAAAAAAGAAGAGAGATCTTATTTTATTACTTAAAAGATAAGAAGCCCTTTTTTAATATTATTAAAAAATTCTAAAATATAAATATTAAATACTTTAAGTAAATCTTCTTTAAGATTTTTAAAATTAAAAACTTCGTTAAATTAATTTATATATATACTATCTCGATTAAAAAGAATAAGAATATTAATAACTATAATTATATAATATACTACTTTCTTATATACTCGATAATTATTAATCGCTTTATATATATAAGCGTGAAAAAAAACTTAAATAAAGCTCTTTATACGTATACTATTTATTTACTATAATTATCTCTTATCTATAAATTTAACTTTATTCTTACTTACTATCTCGTCTTTATTACTATACGCATTTAAAGTAATTAAAATAATTTTAAAGTCTAAAAAACGAATAATTAGAGCTATAGAGATCTTTTTATATCTCGAGAGATTTATATAAATAATAATAAATTAAATATCGATATATCTAGCCTTAATAAGCCCGTTATAATTAAAGAATTTAAAATTTATAAAAGTTTTAATTACTAGCCGAAAAGGTATGATATATTCTATAGAATATTTCATATTAAGTAATATTATATCGTATTCGAATATAGTATAAGTAAAGTCGAATATTATATTATTTTTCTAATATAGATTCGAGATCTTAGCGAGATATATTATAATATAATATATATATAAAATATTTTAATTAAGATTTCTATATTTATAGAATAATTCAACTAAGATAGATAGAATATATTTATTCTTTTTTATTAAGAGAGAGAGAATATAAAGAGTAATTTAATATAGCTATTTATCTTTTTATTAATAATAATAATTAAAATAATAATTAGAATTAGAAGCGTCTCTATTCTTTTTTTTAAAATTATAATATAAAAAAATATTCTAAATTTTAAATCTTTAAATATTATAAAAATAAAATTCTATAATTATCTTTATTTATATATTTATCTTAACGCGTTAAATAAGCTTAATAAATTTTATATTTATTCTTCTCTTAAACTCTATCTTACTTTTTTATTCTACTCTATTTTAATTCTTTTAAATATTTTAAATCTATCTCTATTTAATTAAACTTATTAACTATTTATAAATAAATTCGCTTCTTAAATTACTTTAAATCTCTTTATCGAGATTAGATTTATTATTATTAACTCTCTCTAATTATAAATCTATTAATTATCTCTTTATATATTATAGAGTATTAATAATATATCTTAATAAATTTATAAATATTAAATTTATCGAAATACTTTTTATAAGCTTATTATCTTCGCTAATATAATTATTATAATTATTAATTAAATTTTTATATAAAGTATTATTAGCTCTTTTAATTTAATTCGATATATTAAGATCTTTTTTAAAATTAAATTTAATCTATTTAAACTTATTTTTTTAATATTTTATATAAAGAATTATTATTAGAATATAAAATATTATTAGAATATAAAATATTATTAATAAATAATACTTCTAAATATTATAATATTTTTTAATTATTAAAAAATATCGCTTATATATAATAGTCTTCGCGGAAAAATAAAAAATATTATAAGTTATTTAAGTAATTATAGCGTATTTAAATTTTAATTTCTTTTATTATTCTAAAATTAAAAGATTTATTAAATTATTAAAAGAAGTTTTATAAAGATTAGAAGTAAGATTATAATTAGAATAATAATTAGAAGATTTATTATTTTTTCTATATTATTAAAGTTAATTATATTTATTCTTATTATCTAAATTCTTAATCTTAGATTTTATTATTTAATTAAATATATTTTTATTTAATAACTTATTCGCTTAACTCTTTATAATTAACTATTTATATTAATATTTTAATAATTTTAAAAGATTCTTATAAGCGCTTTTTAATAAATCTTTATTTATAATTATTCTCTAATATTAATCTTTTAATTTAATCTTTTTAATTTTATATTATTATAATTTAAATATAAAAGCGTAATTTATTTATATAAATAGTTTAAATTTAATTAAATTCGACTATAATAGATAGTTAATTTTTTATAAATCGTTTTAAAAGCTTTAAAAAGTTCTTTTTTTTAAGAAACTCTCTTTCTTTTTAATTTTTCGAGCTCTTTATTTATATAATTAAATAAATAATTATAAATATTAAAGATATAATAAATTATAGTCTTTTTTTCTTTATTTATTAATTTTATAAATTTATAAAAAGATCTAATAAGTTAAATTAAATATTAAATCTATTAGAAATTAATCGAAAATTATTTAAATATCTAGATTATAATTTCTATCTATAATTATTTTTTATTATTTAATCTTAAATAGATAATTAATCTATTTTTTAAAAAATATATAATATTAATATAAAGAAGTAGAGCGTAGATTAATATCTAATAAATTAAATTTTAGCGAGTTTTAATATTCTAAAAAAGCTTAAAAAAGTATTTTTAATAATATTACTTTTTTTTAGAAAATTAATATTTATCTAATATTAAAATATTCTTATTTTAAAGCTATTTAGCTTATAATATAAAAAAGATCTCTTTATATTAATCGCTAATATTAATATATATAGCGATTTTTTAAATCTTAATATAATTAATAATATAATAATTAGAATAATAATAAGAAATATTATATCTTTATTAGAATTATTAATAGATTAATTATACTTATTTAAATTTAATTTTTATCTTCTTTATTATCTTAGCTTCTCTAAAATTTCTTATTTATTAAAATAATTTTAATATTATTTAGAAATTCTTTTAAGACTAGTTAAATAATATATACTATATAAAAAATATATTATAAATAATTTAAGAATTTAAATTTTTTAATATTAAGTAGATTATTTATTATAAAAATAGAAAGATAAGTAATTAAATCTTTAAAGAGTATATTATTATTATTAGCGTTATTAATTATAAATTTAAATATATAAATTTTAATCTTATATTTCTCGAGAATTAAATTAATAATATTTATAAATTTTTAATTAATATATTTATCTTTAATATACTCGAAGTCTATAAGAATTTTATATTATTATTAATTAATATTAATAAAAAAGATTAGAATTATTATAAATAATTAATAATTATAAAATAATTAATAATTTAGAGTTAGAGAGATTTTAGTATTATTAATTAATAAATTCTTTAATAATCTTAACTCTAGTTTTATAGCTTTTCTTATTAATTAATTTTTTATAATAAATATTAACTCTAATTATATATTAAGATTAAGATAATATAAAAATTATAATATTTTAAAATTATTAGCGATTATAAATAGAATATTAATATTTATAATTTAGCGATAAAATTATTTTAAAAAGTTTTCGCGTATAAGCTTTTAATCTTTTAATATTATAAAAAAATTTTAATATTATTTTTTCTAGAGTAAATAATAAATTAGATTTTCTATTTATTATTTTATTTATTAATAATTTATATTATTTAATTTAAAAATATATTTAATTTTTATAATTATTAATTAGATTTATTTATTATAAATTATTTAAATTAGATTTCTTAATATATTTCTTAAACTTAATATATATTATTATATCGCTTATTTTATAATCTATAGATAAGTAAATTAAAATCTTATTATAATAATAATAAATAATATATAACTTTCTAAAATTAATAAATATATATTTATTAAATTATATTTATTTCTAGAATTTTCTAATTTTTAAGCTTTAATAAATAGACTAATAATCGCTATTAAGTTTAAATTAATTCTATATAATCTATATTATCTTTATTTATTATTATATTTATTATTTTTTATTATTAATATTAAAAAGAAAGTAAGATTTATTATTATCTTTATATTAAAATATATTTATTAATATCTTATATTAAGTATTATTAATTAAGAAAGTTAAGTTTATATTAAATAAAGATTTAAATAATATCTTAAAATTAAGATATTTAAAGAGAAATTAAAAAAGATATATAAATAAATAAAATATTAGAAATAAAATAAGATTAATATTTAATATATAAATTCTATTTTCTTATTATAATAAAAACTTATATTACTTTAATAATATATCGCTATATTATTTTTAATATTTTAAATTAGAAATTAATTCTTTCTAATTAATATTATAATTAATAATTATATATTTAAAAGTATATAATAATACTAATATAGAATTAATATTTAATTTAATTAATTTAAAACTCTAATTAATTTAGCTATT